CAAAAACTAACAACTAGCAATTAAAATATGGCAACAAAACATCAATTTTAATGTATAACGTAAAATAATTCATAACTTTATACATATAAATTTGCGCAATGATGATCCTATTCATCGAATACAAGAAACAGAAAAAGTATCTCGTATTTCCGGCATGACTATTCAACTCCGATTAAAAAATTTCATCGAAATTGTCAAAGTATGGTTCGATCGGTCCGGGTCAGAAAAATGTACCGTAGTTTCTGATATAGTTGCCCAACTTCAATGAAAGTTGGACTGCTTGTAGAAGTAAATAAGATATATTTCTCATAAAGTTTTCAGCTCTATATGATTGTTTGAAGAGAAGTAATAATGAAAATACTTCTCTATCAAATTAATGTAAGAATAGAAGAAATTTTGTTTACTTTGATTATTAAAAGGATCACTGGTTTCTTCAATTTCATGGTATTAGAAACATTACATCATATACAGTTGTAGAGAGCGTGGCATACTTTACATTTTATTCTTGTTTAACCATTCTCTGGTATTTGTTGAAGTTTTTTAGAAATACGAACAAAATGCAAACCTATGTTTTCTTTTACTAAAGATTTTACTTTTTCAAAAATACTGAATTTTGGTAATATCACAATGAATTTGAAGAAAAAAAAGGGTACTAAGAATTATTCATTTTTTGGTTTAAAAAAAATTCTCTCATTGGGAATTGACATTTGTAGGATTTAGACTAGATTTGAAGTCTTTATCATCATCAACAGACAAACCAATATGTTCCACTACTCGAACAATGAATTCGAACTTGAACTTCTTATAAAATATTTTATTCTTTATTTCTCTTAAAATTAAAAATGGCTAATATCGATCCCAAAATATAAGGCAGGTGGTTGTTTTTTGAATAACTCAAAAGCGGCAAAATATATCGACCTGCAGTTTTCAGCAATAGAAAGAGGAGACTCTAGGCTACAATTTTTACTTGGAAACTTAATTTTCAAAAACTTTTCGATACTAGGTTTTGTGCGGGTTTTTTGGAAAACCAGGATTTTTCTAAAAAGTTTCTGGTAGAAACCTGGCGTTTTTTTTTCATAGATAGATAGCCCTGGGCATTCTCTACAAATCTATATTAAATAATGTGCGGTTTTTTTTGGTTTCTCTGCCAACTGCAGGCGATTTTTCCGAAGCACCAAAATACCAGTAAAACACTGTGTTTTAAATCCGATCGAACTAGCGTGGTCCGGTTTAAAGAATTATGTTCGGCAAATGAATGTTAATTTCAATTTGAATCATGCTGCACAATTATGCAATGAATGGTTAGCTGCAGTGGGTCCAGAACAGGTGGCTAAGTATTTTGATCATGTGTGAAAATGCGAAAAAGAATTTAAAAAAGCTGATCAAGTTGCTGAAAGTCTTGAAGATGATCTACTTGAAAGTGATACAGACGATTCTATAAGTTCGAAAGATGATGGAAACGAAACTGATAGTTGAAAACCTTTTCTCTTCAATATCATTTTTCTCCATGTTTATAATATATTCATGGAAATAAAATGCATAAGAAAGAATAAAAGAACCATTTTATATAAAAATTTCACTTACTATGCATCTCCATCTACCATAAATCAAGAAAGTATCAACCAAAGAGTAAAATAAATATTGCCATAAGATTCAGCATAGCCAATTACCTATGTTTCCAAGTATTCTGGCAACTGCTAGCATTAAGGATACGGGAATTCTAGTGCTTCGGAAAAATCGCCTGCAGTTGACAGAGAAAGCAATAAACCACGTATTATCTAATATAGATTTATAGAGGATGCCCAGGGCTATCTATCTATGAAAAAAACCACAGATGTTTACCAGAAACTTTTTAGAAAAATCCTGGTTTTCCAAAAAACCCGCACGAAACCTAGTATCGAAAAGTTTTTGGAAATCAAGTTTGCTAGTAAAAATGTAGCTTAGAGTCTCCTCTTTCTATTGCTGAAAATCGCAGGTCGATATCTTTTGCCGTTTTTGAGTTATTCAAAAAACAACCACCTGCCTTATATTTTGGGATCGATATTAGTACATAAAAATAACAGTTCAGTTTTTTTTTCTTCAAATGGTATGATGCTCTATTCTATACAAAAATATTTTATATTTTTGCAATAGAATTATATTTGTTAATAATAATGAATATCAACATTTTTCAGGTTATGTTTTTGTTTAATGCATGTACACTCTGCTTAAAACTCTATCTTAGATTTCCTAACATTATTTAACGTACTACATATTGTATATGTAAAGAGTGATTCTCATACTTTTTTGTCTAAAACTTGTTTCATTGTAAATCTTGTATATTTTTTTTTGTTTTGCTTGATTTATCATTACATAGCCAATAAAACAAAAGTCATTTGAAAGATAAAAATGAAAATTAAAGCTGTATTGTGATGACAAAATAAATTAGATATATTTATATACATGATAGAAAAAACCAAAAACGCTTATTATCCATCGCTACTACTACTTCGTACAACTATATTAGCTTTAACATAATTAGTTCCTTTTCTTTGAGAGTCGAACTGTACGAAGAGCGTAAAAATATTTTTTCAGAGGCGTAATGCTATAATTTCAAATAGCATCCATAGCAAATTTTATATCAAATTAAAGCATGTGAAAAATGAAATTTATCAATGCTAAATAGTAAAGGATGTGGCAATTTTTAGTGTTGAATTCAAGAAAATTCTAGAATTTTACAGCAACATTAACATTACAAAATTACTTTCATGAGGCAGTTCAAACTAGATCTCAATTACAATGAGAAATATCACGAAGTATTATTTATCTCTTAAGATTTGATGAATACAAACAATAATCAGAATAATGACCATTAGTTGTTTTTTTACAGCACGAAGATGAGACCGAGACGAACATGAAATAATTTCAAATAAGTCCATGTTTGTTTCCATGTTTCTCAAAGTTTCTTCATCGTAACGATTGTGCTCAGTCTTCGATAACATTTTGTTTCAAGTTTTTGTTTCGATTATTGATTCAATATTTCAGAATCAGGTGTCGAGTACTTTGTGTTATTGCTCGTTTTAAATGAGATTTAGTTTGAGCTGCCTCACAAAACTAATTTTTGAATGTTAATATGCTGTAAAATTGTAGTAAGTTCCTGAATTCAACACTAAAAAATTGTTATACTCTTCATTATATGACGTCGATGAATCCCATTTCCAACACGCTTTTATTTGGTATACACTTTGTTATGTATATCACTTGAAATCATAGCGCTATCCATCTGAAAAAATACTTTTTACGCACTCTGTACATTGAGAAGATGTATCTCCCAACGGAATAACAAGGTCTCGTAGTGAATTTGGATTTTCAGTTTCGGTGAATATAACTTATTTTGAAGTGACGTTTGACGATTGATAACTCAACCATGATTTAAAATATTGAAAATAGTCAGAAAAGGTTTTTACCATATCATCATGAGAAGGAATCATACTATCTTTTTTTGAATTAAGAAGAGGAAGATAAAAATTTAATACCAATAATGTCAAGTTCGGCTTTTTATTTCTATTTTTGATGTATTTGTTTTATAAGAAGGAAATGGTATATTTGAATAAGCACGCTGTTTCTAAAAAGTTTTTGTTTTTATAATGAACATTCACGATTGGAGGAGAGCATTGATGAAATTACTGTCCTGCAACCCGGTTGGGTACGTGAACCAAATCCAACTGGGAGCATGGGTCCGGATCTGACCTAACAGTTAGATTCGATACAGAAACTAATGAAATCTTGATGTTTCAAAATATTTTTACTTTTTCAAACTGCTAAATTATATAAGAGCATATGAGTAAAAATTGGTTCGATCATGATTGAGCTATTTACGGTACTTGAGAACAGGCGACAAAAGTGAAAAGCGATACTATTAAAAAAGTTAACATGTGCTATTATAATGGAAAAAGCATTTATGTATGGATCCATGTTTCTGACGTTCGACATTAGCACCACGTCATCAAGGCAGATAAAAAGAAAGAAGAGGAATGAATCAAAAAATACGATTATTACCTAGATGTCTATTATGAATAGCTTTAATAAGCCTGGATAGCCTTCTTTACAAATGGTCTTAATTAAAACTCTTCAATATGATGTATATTTTGATTTAGATAGTTTTAATAATTCCAAGTCAATCGATAATATTTCAACATGAAGTTCTTTCGCCATCATTGATAAATTGTAAATGACATGTCCATAAGTAGAAAATCAATATGTAACATTTGAAGAACGACTAATGGTTTACGAAGGACATTTAAATTGTATATATTACTTTGTGAAATTATAAAATTCATAGCAACCCAATTACTTCCAATAGATGTTATCGTTTTTAAAGAATTTCATATATCAGATAATATTAACGACAATAAATTATACAAAAGAAAATTCAAATTATGAAATTTCGATTGAATACTAGACAGATGTAACAACAATAATGAGAATATATATTTTGATAATTTGTTTTTACATACCCATTATCAAGCATGACGCATACGCTACATAAATGGTATAATGTTTATAGAAGAACGAAACAAATCATCATACTGCACACGAGGTGTATTAGTGCACATTATATTTGTACTTAGAGTGCGTTTCTCGTGAACTTCTTCTACAAAAGTAGACAGCATTGATGTTAAGACCACAAATCAAACAATAGAATATATTTTTAAGAGGTAACTATTATGCACTTCACATATTCCTATAGAACAAGAATATCTCGCCCTTGAGATACCTTACAATATAGAGTTCTGCTTAAAGACAGTCTTGCTAGCTCAATATTTTTATTTAAAATTATTTTTAGTGTACACAATAGAATTAAAGAGGAGTGAGTGTAAGTTCAATAACTCAACAACGCCAACCGTTAGTCATCTGTGATTTTCCATAATCAGAAAAATATTCAAAAATGTTTCGTTTCGATGAAATATTCATTTTTTACATATGTTTTAGATATATAGTTTAAGATACGATTCAAATGGTTATCGTCTCACATCTTAATATTAAACAAAATTTAAACCATAATATAAAATAAATGAATTGTTTTAGATTTATGAAAATCTCATGATTGATCTTCAATGAATTACTTCGATTTGTGGAACATGTTCCATCAAATGCTTCTGCTATTGTACATTCAGCTGGTTTACCACGAACTGTCCATGAACATCTCCAATAATTTGAATCTTTTTCTTTATAATAATCCATAGAAGATGGATTATCCCACCAAAATATGATAGTACCATTACATATTTCTTTATTCTCATCAAGAGCTTGAAAAAAGCGCTTTAAAAGCCATGTCTTGTAATGTAAAATTAGCACTATAATTACCAACACATTGAACAGTTGGATTTCCTGATGGTAGAGCAAGTCCAGCTAATGAACTTGGATATCCAACTTCAGTCAAAACAAGTGGTTTCGATGTAACATTTATGGATTGATTACTTAGCCAAAATTTAAAATATTGAAAATAATTAGAAAATCTTTTAATCATATCTTGTTGTGAAGGTATGTTACTATCATTTGTTATATTAAGAAGTGGTAGATAAAAATCCATAGCAATAAAATCAAGTTCATCTCAAAATTGAATTTGTTGTGTTTCTAATGGATAGAATATTGAACAATAAGTTAATAATCCTGAATAACCTCCTGATCGAATAGTTCGAATTAATGTTTTCCAATAGAATGTATAATCTTGATTAGAAATTTGTATTAATTCTAATCCAATCGATAAAGCATCTATTTGAAGTTTCTTTTGTCATCATTGATATATTAGAAATAATGTTTTCATAACTCAAAAACCATTTTGTAATATTTTCAGGTAAAATATGAATAAATAGACAATCATTACCACAGACTACAAGTGGTTTAAGAAGTACACATAAATTATATTTATGTGCTTCTTTTATAAAACTAGACCATACATCTTTAGTTGGAGTTCTTTCATCAAAATATATTTCATTTGAGATATTTTTATCTTGTCGAAGAAAAAAATTAACACCAATCCAATTAGCTCCTCGTAATGAAATTATTTTTAATGAATCTAAGGTATCGGACATTGAAAGAACTGTAGAATTAAATGGAAAAATATTAAAACCATTATAATTAGCTTGAATACACACAAAATAATACAATAAAAATTGTTTCATAATAAAACTTGTTCGAATTGAAAAACTGTACCTTAGTAAATTATATATTGTAACATGAGTTTTTATCTGTCAATATGAGTCATAATAATAACGCAGAAAAGAATAAAAATAAATATACAAATGTATATTCTTTGCCTACGAACTACCAGGTATGTTAGATTGAAAAGTAAGATTAAAATGATAAAAATAACCGGTGTTCGAAAATTTTGCAGACTCTAAAAAGAGTCCGTAGAAATTAAGTTTGGACAGAATTCAGTACGCTAAACTTGTATTCAAAGTAGAAGAGAAAATAATTTCAAATGTACCCATGTCGTCAAAATCGCCTCAATTTTGATGATTTATCGCGATTTGCAGAAAAGTTAACGATTAATCGCGATTGATCATCGACTTTTTGAGTAATTCCGATATATCGCGATTAATCACCAATTTTGTTAGTACTGTAAATGCATCGCGATTAATCGTCGATTTTTTAGTGACGCAGACGTATCGTCATAAATCATCGATTATTTTGAGATTTGTGATTGGTCGAAACTAACTTCAGATTTTCAGATATTTTCATCGAAAAAAACATTTTGAAGTTCTATGATAATCTAGACGACAATCTCCTGATTCATTAATTATCGGTTTATTAGCTTAGATAAACAAAAAAGAACTCGTTCGTATCTTCTTATTTAGTTGATCTGTATCGAATTAAATTACATAATCTACTGCAATGATTGGCTTGTGCCACGAATCATTGACGAGTTTCAACACAAATTTTTATTTCTTAATATCTATACAAACGAAGATTAGTTTTTGATCTTTATAGAAAGCTGGCTTCTTTCAATCATTGCAACTAATTTTAGAAAATACATGTAATTAATTAACCAAGAATAAAATTATTCTCAACTTCTTCTTTTCTTTTCTCTTTCATATAAATTCTCACCTCTTATTAAATTCTATGAATTTTTTTTCCGCCCATAGAACTTGTAAAATATTCATCGGTTTTACCCTGCATTAGGAACCAGAGACGAAAATGAATAACACAAGTTCAATTAGATTCAGTTCGATTCATATTGCGTTTGGACAAGGGCAGATCTGGGGGTGAGATGTGGTTTTATAGTGAAAGTCAATCTTCTATCAACCACACCCACCCGCAAACTATTTTTTTAATTTCTTTCTTTTTGAAATTACTTGTCCAAGTGTCATGACCAGTGGATTCATTGTATTATTACAACAAATATTTTAGTAAAGTAGTGGAATATATTTTCGTATTAAAAATGACTCAGGGGTGTCAATTTATTCCTGTGTTTTAATTTACGCGTATATTAAGTAAAAAATAATTTTTTCATTATTAACATTTACAAGTATAGTTTATAAAAATATTTATATTCAAAGATAGATATAAATAACAGTAACTTTTTTTTTAAATAAATTAATTTCTGATGATATAAGTTTTAAATAAATTTAATTTTAAATAATTTTTATTTGTCAATATAAATTGATATCATTCAAATTTATTTATAAATAAAAATTATTTAAATTTATTTTAAAGTAGCAGAAAAATTAGATCCATAGCCTTTACAATAAAGGCTTTACTGGTAACATTTTCGTGTCTGTTCAATATATATATATAGAAAGTTCAACAAAGTGAGATATATGTAATTATAGTACAATGGGATATGCCATGCTTCGAAAATGCAAGATCATCTGTTCGAATCTGCTTCAAAGTAATAAAACATGAGTTGGAACACGCTGACAAAGCATATGGATATACTTATAGACGAAGTCGTTCTCAGAGAACGTGAACAAATAACAAAGAGAGCTCTTCAGTAGACATCAAATGTCTGTCCGAAAAATTTTCTTTTTTTAGCTGTTTTTATGAGAAGCCTAGGTTAGGCAGCCGTAAATAAATCGCGATTTCGGTTGAAAATCGAAAAAAGTATCGGTAAAAATCGGCAGTTTGAATGATTATATCGCGATAAGCTCTCACGATTAATCGCCCTAATATCCCGCGATAAAATCATCGATTTTTTAGCGATTTTGAGGACATGGGTAGCGAATGAAAGAGAAAAGATTTTTCTAAAAGTTCAAAAGAAATTTTCAACTTATCTGTTCAGAAGCAATCCAAAACTTTGATTTTAACCATAATATTTTCAAAGTTCTGCAAGCTCTTTTGACAAGCTCAAAAGTGAATGAATATTGTGTCAAATTGGTTTTTGATAATCTGTTACTAATGCAAAAGATTAAACAATGTTACGGTTATATATAGACTTTTAAGAAATCATTCTCATAAAAGATTAGGCATTATAATCATATAATACCTCATTCTCGATTTTTCTTTTCTTGCATTGGTGTCAGAAGTTGAAGTGTAAAATTCTAAACATAGAATCTTTATTTTACTACAATAACCTTCACATATATGGCTTCAAAGATTCTACAAAGGTCGAACTATTATTATATTACACTAAAAGATGAAAAATAGGTCAAATGAAATAACATCAAATAGAAATATCGTTGATTATACTTCTTTCACAATATTCTCTATCTCATAAAGACTCTCTAATAGTTAAATAATGTCTAACATTTTTATATATATATATCATCTTTATCAAACAAAACGATGTCATACTTGTTAACCTCTTGTTTGTTGAAGGTGTCCTATTTCGAAGAATTTTGACTATATATAAATGTTGCATTATTATTATTTTCAAATCGCTGTTATTAAGATATCATATGTAATAGATCATCGTGTACTCAAATCAAGAGAGACAACAGTCATATTTTTGATATAATAAAGTAAGTATTTCTAATAATTATTATGTTAAAATAATAATTATTATGGAGCAGAAAAATCAGCCGAATTTTTAGAGTTTTTATGAATATTTAATTTATGTAACGATGTGACATTCTTCTATATTGCATTTCTCAATACTCATATTCTATTTTTGTTTCCTTCCTATGACGTTCGAGAGCGTAGGTGGTTCTTTGTTATTCTATTTTTGTATTAGAAAATTCTTCACTGCGACATTTCTTTCTTTTTTTCATAAACATTTTTACCGTCGGAGTAGAAAACTTAATATTTTCCAATGTTTATGAATGAGAGTTTTTGTTCATTAAATTCCACAATATCATCTCACTGTTCGTCATGTTTCTATGGACCTGTTTGTCAATTTAGTACAACATATTATGGTATTATATCATTACAAACTTTATTATGTTCATTTGAATATATTCCAACTGGTATACTTATTAGTATTTTTTTATTTAGTAGTATATGTAATTTATTTTCTATTGGCACATTTTGTCAATCAAATGCACGTGAAATGGGTAGTGGTATCTATCGTCTTTGGATTTCAATTATTGGGCAATGTGGTCTGACAATAATTGTTATTCATATACTTATGGAGAAAAATAATAGTGGAATAATAGGTTGTTTTATTTTAGAATATCTTCGTAAAGCTCTTCATGCTTCATATGATTCATTAACAGCATGTACAACATTAGAACGAACGATGGTTATCTATCAAGGTCTTGCATTTAATAAAATACATAGTCGACGATTAGCTAAATTGATTATACCTATATTAATAATATATCATTTTCTTAATATTTTTTATGAACCATTTTATCGTCAATTAATTTATTCATTGAATCGATATTGGTGTATATTGAAATTTTCTAATCATTCAATTATTATTTATCAAAGTGTAACAAATATATGTCATTTTATTTTACCTTATTTTATTAATTTAATTTTACCTATTATATGGGTTTTAGCTTTAACAAAAAAGAAATTAATATTAAATAAAAATCTTTCAATTTGGATCAATTTAAAAAATATTTTATTTACTTATAAGTATACAATCATTAGTTGTTATATTCTTGTTCTTCTTAATACACCTCGATTGATTTTTACATTTTATTTAACTTGTATTAAATTACAATGGCAAAATACAGTTTACATTATTGCTTATTTTCTTTCATTGGTTCCATTAATGACTAATCTATTTATTTTTGTTTTACCATCACCAAAATATCGACCAGAATTTTTTAGTTTAGTTCAACGTATCATAAAATATCGACATAGAAGTCAATATGCTTCAACATAAATGTTTTACTTGTCTTCATATTTACATTGTGCAATAATCAATTTTATTTAAAAAAAAAAAATAAAGTATGAAAAAAATCTCATCGGAAAAAAAACAAAAATAATCAATACAATCTTATCAACAATCAATAACAGAATATAATACTTGATAGTATTTGATCAAAATTTTAAAGATATGATGTAATGTATCAATGAACATAAATACGATGCCGAGATCTAACAGCTGGCTACGTACAATTGTAACTAGAAAATAAATCAAGCTGGCAACCAAATTCTGGGGTATCGTATTTATGCATCTAAGATTCGAACATTTTTCGACAGAAAATAATGGCTTTCCAGTCGAAAAATTCATTTGGATTATGTAGGAATTAACTGACTTAATTTATGATCGATTTGATGGTATAGTGAATGAGTGAACTATCGTAAAAAGACGAAAACTTCAAGTTCATTCATTGAATATCTACGTCATTATTTTCATTCAAACATAAACAAATAATCTTATAGATAGTATTTAAATGAAATTGGAATTATCAATTGATCAATTTGAAATTCTTATAGAACAAAAGTCGAGCGAAAAAATATTCTGTACATTTTGTAATTGTGATTCCGAAATCCTTGTTTTGAGTAGAGAAAAAAATCGTTGTATCCTCACAACACAGAGATATATCATAATTGCTACGATGTTTTGATCATTATATGATAGAACACTTACGAAGGAAAACTTCTTTATGAATCTAATATAAACTCAAACAGCTGGTACCAGTTTGGATAGAAGTTCCTTCGTAAGATCAATCAACATATTCAATATCTAACGCCATCTACATTCAATTACGGTACTTGTTTGCAAAAATACTGGTGATCAGGAAGTCAGAATAATAACTAAGTTTTTTTTTCGTTCTTAAAATAACTT